CACACACCCGACTGAACTGATGACATCACACACCCGACTGAACTGATGACATCACACACCCGACTGAACTGATGACATCACACACCCGAATGATGACATCACACGCCTGAGTGATGACATCACACACGTGAATAAAGACATTACTAACCTGAATAATGACGTCGTACAATCGTATAAGATCCTGAGGCTTGGCGACCTTCTTGCCGTCGGTGGCGCCCCCTGCTGTGAGGCTGGCTTTCAGCGAGTCTACGAGCAGCAAGTATCTCTCGCTGGTCTTGCTCAGACGGATGTACATGAGATACGTGTGTAGGAACTGTATCACCGTCTGCTTGCCTCCCTTCTGATCATGAGATTTCTGCAACAAGCCGACAGGGGGCGACATTGTACTGATGCTACACAGTACCCGTGGGTCTGTGTGATCTCAGCTCCTATGTTAACGTTAAATTGTAAACTTGTGAAAATGTGAGGGAGACGAGGAGGAGGAGGGGGAGGGATGAGGGTAAGGGTGAGGGGGAGGGCAGGCCCAGCTTACCGGATCAGCACGGATTTCCTCTCTGAGCTCCTGTGTTAATGCTAATGTAAGGGGGAGTGGGAGGGGAGGCCCAGCTTACCGGATCAGCACAGATCTCCTCTCTGAGCTCCTGTGTTAATGCTAATGTAAGGGTGAGGGGGAGGGGAGGGGAGGGTGAGGGTGGCTTACCGGATCAGCACGGATCTCCTCTCTGCAGACCTCCTGTGTTAATGCTAAATGTAAGGGTGAGGGTGAGGGGAGGGGGAGGGGAGGGTGAGGGTGGCTTACCGATAGCACCGGTTCTCGTCTTCAGCTCCTGTGCGGCATCGCTTACAATCCCATCAAGTAGGCTCTATAGCACAGACCCCTTACTGTCACGGTCGCTCTGTCTGCTCGCTTAGCGACCATCGTGCTGGCTAAGCTGGTGTCCCACTCTCTCAGTTCTGCGTCGACATGTCTCAGGGTTGAGCAGGACGGTGTGCGGAATTCGCTGACCTTCTCCTGCGTGACAGGCACGCAGCGTCCTCTCCAGGTCACCTCCGACAACGTTGACGACTGCTTCTCACGCGTCTGAGCGATAAGCACCTGCCAGCAGAGGTCAGCACGTGTTAACCACGCTCACAACGCTACATTACAGTTATCAGTGTACGTTACAGTTTACAGCGTTACGTTAGCAGTTACAGGCGTTACGTTAACAGTTTCAGTCGTTTACGTTAGCAGTCACACATGTACGTTACAGTGTACAGCGTTAGTTACAGTACATAGCAGCTACATTACAGTTTACAGGCGATTACGTTAGTTACTAAGTTACAGCATTTAACGTACAGGTTAGCAGCGTTACGTTCCCCAGTTACAGCGTTACGTTACAGTGTACAGCATTAAGAGTTACATGTTACAGTGTTCTGTTAAGCCACAGCTTATAGGTTACAGTTACGTGTTACAGTACATTACAGCGTTACGTTAACAGTTTACAAGCGTACGGTTACAGTACAGCGTTTACATTAAGTTCAGCGTTACGTTACGTTACAGTTACAGCGTTACGTTACAGTTACAGCGTTACGTTACAGTTACAGCGTTACGTTACAGTTACAGCATTACGTTACAGTTACAGAGTTACGTTACAGCGCTAGGAGCAGGTAGATGTAGCTATATATACACATGTACACGTGTGTGTGTATATATACATGTACACGTATGTGTGTGTACGTGTATATACATACATGTGTGTGTGTGTGTGTGTGTGTGTGTGTGTGGGTGTGTGAGGAGGGGGGGGGGGGGGGGGGGGGGGGGGGTGTGTGTGTGTGTGTGTGTGTGTGTGTGTGTGTAGTGTGGTGTGTGTGTGTGTGTGTGTGTGTGTGTGTGTGTGTGTGTGTGTGTGTGTGTGTGTGTACAGTGTACGTGGTACTTACTCTAGGTGACTTACATCTATAGTAGATGACATCGATTCCCGCAGCCGCTTTCCCCGATGTGTGTGTCTGTGTGTGTGTGTGTTGTGTATATAACATATCCTGTGGTGTGTGTGTTGTGTGTGTGTGTGTCGTGTGTGTGTGTGTGTGTGTGTGTGGTAGTGTGTGTACGTGTATATACCTACTATGTGTGTGTGTGTGCGTGTGTGTGTGTTGTGTGTGTGTGTGATGTGTGTGTGTGTGTGTGTGTGGTGTGTATGTGGTACATTACCTAGGTGACTTACGTCTAATGGTAAGACAGTAATCTCCCCACCAGCCTTCCCTGAACTGCTAAACTCATGATGGCAATCGAGGTACACTGAGGCGCGACTCGTCTGCCTATGTGTGCGCAGTAACGGACTGTTAGAGTAGCAGCTCTTCTATTCTCTGCTGTAGGCAGGGCTCAGATGCCCTCAGTCAACATGGATCCTAGCTTCTCATAGATAGTCCTAGGTCCACCAACAGACGAGACCGTAAGTGTATGTCCAGCCAGACTCAGAGACGCAGTTAAGTGTGTCACAGCAGACGGGACGAGTAAGGTTTAAGTCCCCTGCGTGGCAGTGACCGACGGTTGCTAGTGGCACTGGCATCACAGGAGAGACTCTGATCTATGATAGCGTATGAATACAGGCCAGCCTGAGACATACGCGACTATTACACATTAACATGCCATAATTATATTCCTAGTTAATTCTGGGATCACTTTGCTCCTACCTGGCTTTCTGGATAGTTTCAGTGCGCTGTCTTCCCCATTTTTGAAGTTCGAAAGCTCAGACGTTTTGCACCTGGCTAGCGTGATATGCCTGCAACTGACATTTAATTGTCATGAATGATTGGTAACTTATACTCCCTCTCACGCTCCACACACGAGAAAGTGAACATAAGCTCTCACCATGGAGAGTCACACACACGAACCCTAACTCTCAATCACGACACACGACGTAATCTCACCTCACCGACACGACCTATCTCACGTCACAAGCAGCACACTTGGAAGATGCAAGCCCAGAGGGGTCCGACCACTTGCTAACTCCACGCTCACACAACACGACCTAATCTGCCACTCACTACACCACACGACGCTAACTCTGCACATATCAACCAACACTGAACTCTCACCTCACACACACGACGCCTAACTGCTGCCCTTCCTCTTCACTCACACACACGACCCTAACTTGCTTTCTCTCACCTCACAAGCAGACGACCCTACTCTGCCTTCCCTTCAACCATCAACACGCACACGACTTAACTCTGGCTTTCCTGCACCTCACACAACGACCTAATCTGGCTTCCGTCTCACTCACAGGAGCTACAACGTGGAGGGCGCGCGGACCCTAGCACTCTCCGACTCACACACACCAGCCTACCCAGTATCTCCCTCCCCCCTTAGTTTGTGGGGCGCGGCGTCAGCACTTCATGGTTGCTGATTATCAGGCAGTGCGTCGCATGCTGCGTGTTGCACGCGCGAGACGCTCGAGATCATGTGAAGCGTTTATCAGCGGTTCCGTGTGCGTCGTCTCAGCTGCATGCGTCGCTCCACGCCCGCCTCGCGCTGATGAGGGGCCATACAGAAACCTGGGTGGTAAAACACATGCTGATGAGCGGGCACATACAGGAACCTGGTGGTAAAAACATGCTGATGAGGGCACATCAGGAACGCGAGGTGGAAGACACAATGCTGATGAGGCACATACCGGAATCCTGTGGTAACACAATGCTGATGAGGTGGCGCCATACAGCGACCTGGTGTAAATACACATGCTGATGGGCAATACAGGACCTAGTGGTAAAACACAATGGTGATAGCGGCACATACAGGCTAGTGGTAATAACACAATGCTGAATTTGAACATTGGGGTATACAAGAACAGGGTCACGGAATTCTTAAGTCAGTATTGTTGGTTAGTTTGACTTAGTTCATGAGATTTTTCTAAGACCACCCCTAACTAGAACCACCTGACATTCTTTTAAGTTGGCTTCATCGACTTTTGTGGCTCTGAATAACGTCTCTTGCCGCGGTCATGGCATAAATGCAAGTGCTTCCTGATCCTTGCGTACTCCTGGTGGGGCGTAACCATCCTACAACACAAAAGCAATAACACGCTGCCATGTTTAGCATGTTTATATGTGTAGTAACTCCTACTACACATAAGATAGAAACTAGCCATGTTTACGATGTGTTATATGTGTAAGTACTCCTACACCACAATAACAATTACGCATGTGTTAGTATTGTTTACATGTTTACTGGTGGCATTAAATGTAAAGTCAGACCTCACTACACACAGATAACAGATTACGATGTTTAGTATTGTTTACACGTTTACATGGAGGCAGTGATGCGTGTGTAGCTGACAGGCTTGCATGCAAGGGTACTGTACTATGGTAATCTCGCGTGTCTGAGTCCATGCTGCTGCTGTGCTCTCTCACTTCCAACAATACTGCGATGAACGGCCATTAAGGAATC